TTGCTTATCTGATATGGATCTAAACAATTACAAAAAAAAAGTTTAAAGTTCACAACGGATCCACAAAATATTACCATATCTATACACTGATCGCGCCAAATTAGCCAAAATAGTAAAACGGATGAAGAGTTGTTCGGAAAAGACTTGCATAACATTTTAAAAAACAACCAAGCACTAAAAAAGTCAAGTATAGACCAAAAAAAAAACTTCAAATCGGTAGTCGGGTAGGCAGCAGGGAGCCCACCCGTCTTTAATCTACAAGCGATTTTTTGTGAAACAAATAATCAAACAAATAAATTGCAGGTTCGTCAGCAAAATTGTTTAATTATGCAAGAGAACAAATTGGGCGATTTCAATAGCACTCTCGGGGAACATGCGTACCCATTCAAACAGGTAGCACGAGTTACATATCCATTTACTTATTTCAATATTATTTTACTATCAAAGCCCTTTTCTTCGGAAGTGGAAGTACTCACAGCTAATAAGGACTATAGGCCAAAAGCAGATTATGCCGATTTTGAAATAGTTTTGCGTTGAAGTGCAATATTAAAAAATGGCTTACCACTCAAAAAATGAAATAACAGGAAAATTCAAAATTCCCATTCATTCATCCAAAATCAAACAAACATACACACAGTTGTCTATCGGGGCAGTAATTGGTCAAAAATTGCAAGTGACAGAACAAGCAACTAATACCAACATATTCAGGATATATACAAATATTTACAATTCCTTCTCTGTACACAAAAACACAAAACCAAAGTGTTTCAGAGCGACAACAATGTATAACCTTCTTGAGTTTCCCACTAAACACCTTAAACATGAAAAACACGTTATCAAAAGGAAAAATTCTCAATATATTCCCAGAACTTCAGCAAATTTAACAGGAAAATGCCACTGTACAGTAGCTTCATATCCTGCTACCAAATATGACTTCGCTCACTTGAAAGATTTAGGAAGAATCAAATAATCAATAATTCACAAATAATTTTAAAATTATAATCTCAGAAGGAAGATCCCCAATAAACTAAAGTCTTCTCTTGGTGAGAAAAGAATATGTGAAAAGGTCAGAACATAAAGCCGCAAAAATTCGTTCTAGAAATTTTCTCAAACGCGTCTCCGTCTGTAGTTGGTGATTTTTGTGGGGGCAGGACTTCCCATGGTTTCTAGGATCGAAGAAAAACGGAAATTCACATTAACTTTTTGGAAATAGAAGTGTAGACACCCTGTGCAATTTCTTACCGACGCGGCGAATACAGAATACAGAATGTTTCGTAAGAAACTATGGGTGAGCGCATCAAAGGCGGGGCAGTTACGTTGGTTGTGCTTTTTAAATATCGATCGATATACGTTGTGTGAGCGTTAGTTTCAATTCTTGCTTTCTATTTTTTAAATTGTCTACAAAAGCAACTTACTATGCCTTAAAGCCATTGACGAAACATGAAACTAATATTCGCATTTTGCTCAGAACCGATAATCGCATTGCAAAATCTCGTATCAATCGAGGAGGCAGCGTAAAATTTCAACACTCAAACGATGTAATAAAACAACTTTGGGAATGGTGCGAACATAAAAACTTAATGGTATTTGTAAGCTACATTGCGTCAACAGAAAAATTAAAGCGGACAAGGAGTCTAGATCAGTGGTCGCCAACCTTTTCAATGTGTTGAGCTACTTTGTTAATTTTATAATAAACAGTGAGCTAATGACAATTGTATTTTTTTTTGTGGAATTTTGAATTTTGTATTTTTAAAATTAAAATCGTTGTGAGGGCCACCAGAATTGCCTCCTCGGGCTACCGGTTGGCGACCGCTGGTCTAGATCATTATCACTCGATGCTGAATACGAACCGAAATACCGAATACTAAAAAACTCGGGATTCCTGAAGTAGATCTATTCGCTTCATGAATAAGCAATATATGCAAAAGGTATATTTCTTGCCTTCCCAATCCAAATTCTTTGGCAGTAGACCCTTTCATTATTCGGTGGAACAAATATTACTTTTACGCCTTCCTACCTTTTTCCTTGCGCTACTCAAGGGTTGGATAAATCTATTCAAGACAAAACGCTTGGTATTGTAGTTGTACCGAATTCGCCTTCTCAACCGTGGTACGCTATTTTGAAAATCTCATCCTTTTCGAACCTAATTTCAATCTAATACTATCCCCCTTCGGAACCAGGTACCCACTAGCTGGGGAACTTTCCCTGGTAGCAGAGAAATTAGTCGACGCTCTCCAATGAAGAAAGGTACACTGGAGACGGCAATATTAACCATGGTAAAGTCGCTAGCAGAAGTCACTCTCAATCAGTACTCAAGTTGTTTCAAAAAATATTGTCATCAAAAACACAATGAGTTTTTGAAATGTGCATTGGATAGGGGGGCATCTTCTGTTACCAACTCCTACAGATCGGTTCTGAACTTAATCTTTTCCCCCAACGAGGATGATAGAAAAATCATTAACAGATTCTTAAAAGATGTTGCTAACATAAGACCTCCAGAGCCTAAATACGCTATTACGTGGAATCTGGATGCGGTGCTGGCGGTTTTAAAAACTTGGTATCCATTGGATTCTCTAACTTTAGAACAGTTAACGTACAAACTAGTCTTTTTATTGTCAATCTCATCATCAAGTAGAGTACAAACCTTAACGGCACTAAAAATGGGGAATATATCGTGGACGGGAAAATAGAAATTTGAATTACAGACAAGGTTAAAGCATCAGCTCCAAATAAAATTAACCCGTTTCTGAAACTCCCTTACCTTCACAAAATGATAGAACTGTGCGTAGCTCACAACATAAAAATCTACTTAGAGAAAACTTCTAGCTATCGCAAAGATTATGAGAATCTTACTACTAACGCATAGGAAACCATTTCACGCAGCATCCTCGCACACCATAAGTCGCAGGCTAAAACGGGTCCTAAAGTTAGGTGGAATTGACACCAAAGTCTTTTCCGGCCAAAGCAGCCGTTATGCAGCAACTTCGGCTGCTTCAAGACGAGGTATCAATATTGACGTAATACACTCTACAGCCGGTTGGATACCATCCTTCAATACATTTTTTTAGATTTTATGATGCACCTTTAATCGAGCCCTGTTATTATATATATTATTGTGTAGATATCTACAACGTTGTGGGTCGTTTAATTATTTATTAGTGTGGTTTATATTATTACAAATTATCAAAATACACCTCCAGCTCCAGCTGCAGCAAAATTTTCACTCTGAACATCTACAGTGTGTAATTGTATCAAGGACAACCAAAGGAAAATTAAAAGATTAATCGACTTACCTGGAACATTAATATTAATTTTCCCTTTACCCAGTGATACTCCCTAGGCGATTTTGATTCAAAACGGAATGATTGGAGGCCGGGACGGCCGGCGTTCGGCGGAGACAAAAAGCGAAAATAACTTGTTTTTTGCTTTAAACGTCGTGATCAAGAACATGATGAACGGATACTACAGTGTGTAATTGCATCTACGGACAAGGTCGGAAAATTAATATTAATCTTCCAGTTAAGTTGATTAATCTTTTAATTAAATATTTTCGTTAAATCGGGAACATCATTCGATAAGAAATGCGCTCAAATTTTGTCGTTGCGTGAGGTTGTAGACTGACTACAAAGAGTAGAAGAGAAATTGGTAGCTAAGGTTTCTTTCGTTTGCCTGCAATGTCTAACTTAAATTTGTCATATTTTGTATAATATTCACGACCAACGGGCTATTTGTGTGGTAGGATTTTTTGTTTGTCATTGTAGTTTTGGCATTAAGAATTTGTCTAACTGGTTTTACAATGCGTCACATGGAATTGATTAGATTAATAAATACCAAAGTTAAATAAGATCGAGTAATAAATACAAAATTTCAAAAAAGTGGATAGCAAACAATTAGTGATTTGTACCAAACAAACATAATTTATTATTATAAAAAATAAAAATATAGATGCAGATATTTAATATCCCCGCAAGAAGTAATTAATGAAGGACAACGATTAAAATTTCAAAAGTGGAGAAGTAAACTCAAGAAAAGAGGAGGAGGACGCAGTTATTTCTTTTCACTTAAAGTTAGATAAGATCAAGTTATAAAAACAAAATATCATCTACATCTACAGTGTGTAATTGTATCAAGAACAAGCGAAGGAAAATTAAAAGATTAATCGACTTACCTGGAAGATTAATTTTAATTTTCCGAGCTTGTCTGTAGATACAATTACAAACCCACCCTTTACCCAGTGATACCCCTAAGCGATTTTGATTCAAAACGGAATGATTCGAGAGGCCCGGCCGGCCGGCGTTCGGCGGAGACAAAAAGCGCAAAAAAATCGTTTTTTGCTTCAAACGTCGTGATCAAGAACATGATCAACGGATACTACAGGGTGAAGTTGTATCTACGGACAAGTTGCAAAAATTAATATTCATCTTCCAGGTAAGTCGATTTATCTTTTAATTTTTGCTAAGATATTTAGAAAATGTATTTATCTTTGCTGGTAGCTGGTATATAAAATTCTGGTAACGACGTATTCTTCTTATATGTGCTACTTATATCTGTATTGTATTGCTGCTCGTTTTAAATCCACCAAAATATATTTGAATCTGACAAAATTTTACGCAAATGTTTTTATTATTCACAATAGTGCCGTTGATAGCAATAATTACGTTCTGTTAGGATAGTTTTAAGTGGATCATTGTTCCGCTTCAAGTGCCTGTTGTAATTCAGATTATGAGGCAATCAGAATGAGATAAAATCAATTTTTTAAAAACGATTGCGCTATAGTTTCGTTATTGAACATCAAAATTATTCAACATGTTTCTTCGACCGAATTCACTCCCACAGTAAACAAATTATAGGTCAATTCAAATTACAGTTTAAATCAGTTAAATATGTTAACGAGTAACGAGTCCGACAAAAGTATGTTCATCTTAGTATTACGAATGTATTGTTGTATTCGTTATTTCCACCTAGTGTGCAGTGAATATTCAAAGCTTTCCTGATTATAGGTAACGGACAGCTTAAACAGAACAGTGCGCCAGAAGCCAAGAAATTTGATAAATTTCCGTGGGAAAATGAACCGAGGGATAGGTTTTATTTCGTTCAGGTGGTACTTTTCCTCTTGGGGACGGTTAGTTTGTTACCTATGACGTTCTTTACGACTGCGACTGAGGTACGTACCTGTGACCTTTAGGTTAGTGTGCTTTAGGCTAAACTAAATAAAGGACTCTGGATCACCTGTAGTCACACCAAAAATGAGACGCTATTGTCGCCGAAAATACGGTAAAATAGACGCGCTGTTATGACAGTTTCGTGCACTTTGCTCAATTTATAAAAAAACGATCTTTAAATGCTTAATTCGTTTTTATCCAGCAAATCCAGTGCGATCTGGAAATACTTTTAGAAATTACTGTCCTCGGCAAAGTGGAAAATATCGAATTCAATGTTCAGACGTGACCTACCATTAAATAGACCGTTAGAAGTTCGTTGTCGATGATAAATTTTTGTTGAGAGATCTTCCCTCGATGAGTTTTAATTGGTATTTGAGAAATAAAGCAAGACAACAATTCCAACTGAAACCAACCGGCATTGATTAGGATTTCATCCGACCAATCATCCTATTGTTTTGATGACCTCGGATAAAATTTTAAAGATCTGGCTGATTTGACCTCGGATTACAAAACTATGGATGTGTATGGTCGATATCGATATTTATTTCATTTAGTTTGATTTTATTATATTATATTTATATGTGATAATTTGAAAGACACGTTGTGGGGTCCACAATAACCTAGAGTGGCTGTCGAAGTCTTGGTCAGAAATAAAATAGGAAGATAATTTGAATTCATATTTATAAGAGAATTCTGACCATGGATAATATTCTAAGAATGTATTTAAAATAACGAAAGTGAGGCCTAAATTGGAAGGTGTAAGGTGGGTAAATTGGTTTGGCAAAAAAAATCCATTTTGGGGACATTACGGTGAAAATTTCACTTGTATCAATGGTTCACAATTAGCAATTATATCCCAAAAGTTAAATTTCAGATCGCTTATTTATGATTTATGACCTTAGTTATATTGTATAGCATGCGATATGATTTAAATTGTACTTTAACTTTTAACGTTGTCCTGAACTTTCAAGAATTATTAAGATCACTCTGTTTACTTTTTACTATAATCGGTTCCACCACTATTTTTTTAAAAGAATTTAACTCCATATAAAGATGATCGAATTCTGCGTTGATCACACCCGATCGTCTTGTCAGACAGCTTTTAGACAGACACTAAACCTACAAGTAATTCAAATTAAGAATAAATTAGAGCGTGACATAGACCATTTTATAAAATACGAAGGAATTAAACAGAATCCGAGTATTAAGCAATGGTATTCATTCATTCAGTTCTCCTTGTCAAATAAATTGTAAAAAGAACTTTGCGTAGAGTTACTCCATGTTTTTTGAGGTTTAATGTACCTTGTTCTCGAGATAAAAGTAAATGCATTATCATAATATACGCAAGCAGCGATAACATTTTTGTTTCAAAGGCTTTATTATTGTCGGCCAAAAACGTTAAGTACTGATTATCAAAGAGATATGATTGGGAGCTCTTTATGAGATGGTTTGTTTAACAAAAGTTCTGCAATTGTGATGTTAGGTATGTCATTTTTATCTACTTCCGTCTGCACCACCAGTTCTCAGAAGTACCACAAAAATAATCTTCAAGTGATAATAAGTGGATACTTCTTAAAATACCACAAAAAGTCGTAATTGGAAGCAATAAGAAAGAACTTAAAGCATATTAAATCAAAGGGCACCATATTGTCATATTTTTCAGGTAATCCATCCTATAACTTCTAATGTAATCAGATTAAAATTTGTCATTCCACGTAACCCAGCTAAAAGGTAGTGATATGAAATGGTCCTCACAGTCAGAGCAACTAACACTACTAACGCTTTTAGCGGTCTTCCAATTGCTAATACCGAAAACTTCAACTATTTGGTTAATAATGTACAATTTCTAAAAAGTGTACTGAACATACCTCTAAAGCACAAGTTCATGTTGTAAACATCTTCCTGTAGTGCATTTTTCTGTGTAGAAAAATGACTACTTTATAAAATTTAAAATATGAAATTAATGCTACAGCAGTTTTCCATATGTCGAAACCATATAGCTACCGGAGATTATATATATATATATATATATATATATATATATATATATATATATATATATATATATATATATATATATATATATATATATATATATAGTTTATATTTTGTTTTTTCTTAGACCTTCTCTATATTTATGTTTAGCTTTTGGTTCTTGGGTTATAGCTCTTTGTATTAAAAGCGATTAAAATTTTTTGTCCATATATTGACGTTTCGGTCTTCTATGACCTTCTTCAGAAAGGGATACGGTCAAAAAGAGACAAACACAATCTTAAAATTGAAGAGGTAGCATCATATGGAAGTTTATACTTTAAAAGCGTTTGGTTTTGTCATAGTGCCCTTGATAAAAGATAAAAGTCCAACAAAAAATGATTTGTATACGGCACTCACACACATAATACACACAAATTTAACGAAACAGTTTTATTTTTTAAATACTGGCGTGTTTGTTCTATATACACACTGTCGCAATTAAGGCACGGAATTTCATATACTATATTAGTTCTTTTTTCACCCGGAATTTTTACTTCCACTTTAGTGAAAAGATATGTTGTTTGTAAATTATAACCTTTGTGCCGTATTAAGATTTTGTGCTCCTTGCAAATGGGTTGCAGTTTTTCTGATAAACCAGGTACATATGGTAGCGATGTATATTTGCTTTGAGGATTTTGATGTTGGTTTTTAATATCGTTATAATCAGATTTGTTGGCACGTTTACTAAAGATATTATTGATTAAGTTTTTGGAATAATTATTTTGCGCATTTATATATATATATATATATATATATATATATATATATATATATATATATATATATATATATATATATATATATATATATATATAAATGCGCAAAATAATTATTCCAAAAACTTAATCAATAATATCTTTAGTAAACGTGCCAACAAATCTGATTATAACGATATTAAAAACCAACATCAAAATCCTCAAAGCAAATATATATCGCTACCATATGTACCTGGTTTATCAGAAAAACTACAACCCATTTTCAAGGAGCACAAAATCTTAATACGGCACAAAGGTTATAATTTACAAACAACATATCTTTTCACTAAAGTGGAAGTAAAAATTCCGGGTGAAAAAAGAACTAATATAGTATATGAAATTCCGTGCCTTAATTGCGACAGTGTGTATATAGAACAAACACGCCAGTATTTAAAAAATAGAATCAACGGACATAGTTATGACAAAAAAAAGAGCTCTTCATACCCATTGTGATAACACCAATCACACATTTAATTATCAAAAAGGTAAAATCCTACTAACAGAACCTAACAGTAATAAAAGAGGACTTTATGATAGTATAGAAATTTAAAAAAAATCAATCAATTACAAAACCAATCCTAAAGACCTTAACAAAATATATCATTCCATTTTAAAATAACAAAATTTAATTATCCAATATATGTGCTAATAAAAGACATCCGTACCTGCTTTGCATGCCGTTACAATCCGCATAAAATATTCACTGACATATTATGTTTATTTTAAATATGTATTATATTAACACAACGTCAAAGTTCATCAATTTTTATAAATGTCATATTTATTTCTAGTATTGGATGTATAAGTTCCGAAATACCTCATTAGACGCCGATGATCCAGATCACCGAACGTATCTACAAGCCAATTTCGCTTCTCTCCAAATGTTTGCAGTCGTATACCCAATGGTCATCACAAATTTTATTGCAGTATTCATCGGTCACAAAGTAAAACCCAAAATCAGAGTCATAGCTTTTCTTTGTTCAATATGTATGGTACTAGCCACCCACACTGCATTCGTGAAAATTGACACCGACGATTGTGAGTCATGGTCAGGGATATAGAGGCTGCAAGAATGAATGATAAGCTGCACGAAATGTGGTGGTCACCAGTTTTCCAAATATCGTCATTTCTCGACAATGAAAGCGAAAATATAACAATCTACAATTTTTTGTAATATCACAGAGCATTTTATCCACTCAGATTTATTACTAACAAAGTTTTACAATAAAGATGGAAATGAACAAGAAAATAAAAGTCAATGATATAAGACGGTAAGGAATAATCACAAAGTTTTATTAAAATGGCGAAATAGGAAGAGAATGCAACACATTGCGAATCACCACAGCAAACTATATTCAAGGTTTGAATTTATTTGCTTTCATTTGACAAGTTTTGGGAAAATGATGGTCACCACAGGCATCTGCAACATTTGCATGCCCAGTGTCATTTTCACCACTCTCGTGGGCAAAGTATCCCCCTTGTAACAAATATAAATAAATAGGACTAGAACCAATCTATCAAAAACATTTTTGTGTTTGCTTTATATTTTAAAACAATTTTGCTTCAAAATTTAAAAAATTCAGACCAAAGGTCAGCGAGCAAGTTAACCTTAGTAAAATATTGAAAGGCTTTGCTAAGCATCACCTTTCTTGTCCTATTTATATTCGGTGGTCTTGGTTAGTTTGTGAAGATTCATCGTTATTTTAGGGCAAGTTTCATTTTTTATCATCACTATGGCATGTCAAGTGTTCATAAGCGGTAAGTTATAGTTATAGCACACCGATACTTAATCTCCAAAAGCGTATTCCAGGTGCTATGGGTTTAGGTGGTATAGGATGCGTCACCTTAGCCTCATATTTTCCTCCACATTACACAAAAACTTTTTTGATGGGACAGGGATTAGGCACTTTAGTCACGGCAGTTTTGAGATTGATATCGGTCACAGCCGCGCCTTCCGCATTGGGTGGTGGTTTTATTTTCTTTATAACTGGAACGGTTATAATGGTTTTAGCACAAATTATGTTTATCATTGCGACGCGTTCAAGTTTTTTCAGGTAAGCATTGCTAATTTTTCTAATTAATATTAGTAAATAAATTGAACTGACGTGGCTTTTACTTGATGAAAATTCATTTACAAAATAAATAAGAACTAAAAGTTCAGATTTTTACGAAATTATATATTTTAACATAACAATTGTTTATCAAATGTAATATTTACAAACTACCTGCTATTATATATACCGAAAAATGACAATAAAACCTTAATTAATGTTGTTGTGAGAATTTAAGTTCAATAAAGGAGAGGTATTTAAATCTAATTCACCATTAAGCAATACATTCGAATGTCTCATTTTGTTAATCTCCATGGCTTCCAAAAATTTAATTTTCTACTTTTTGTGGCTGTATGTAAAATATCAAAATTGTCGTCAAAAATGTGTTTTTCTGTGTTTAAGTGTGTTGCATAATTAGAATCTAGACTATAGTTTTTAAACGCTCTTTTATGTCCGTTAATGCGTTTTTTGAAAGATCTACGTGTTTGTCCAATACAAATTTTAGGACAAGATCCGCATTTCAACCTGTAGACACCTGCTTTTTGCGATTTTGGACATTTCGTTTTATTATTTTTTAATGTTTAAAAAATATATATTAAAAAACAATAACACGAAATGTCCAAAATTTTAAAAATCAGGTATCTACAGGTTGAAATGCGGATCTTGTCTTAAAATTTATATTGGGGAAACGGGTAGATCTTTCACGAAACGCATTAATGAATATAAAAGAGCGTTTAAAAACAATAGTCTAGATTATAAATATGCTGCACACTTAAACACAGAAAAACACATTTTTGATGACAATTTGATATTTTACATACAGCCACAAAAAGTAGAAAATTAACTTTATTGCAAGGCATGCATATAACAAAATGAGAAATTCAAATGTATTGCTTAACGGCCAATTAGATTTAAATACCTCTCCTTTATTGAACTTAAATTCTCACAACAACATTAATTAACGTTCATTTTTCGGTATATATAGTCGCAGGTAGTTTGTAAATATTACATTTGATAAAGACACGGTGTTGTGGAAACAGTTGTCATGTTAAAATATATAATTTTGTGAAAATCTGAACTTTTAGTTACTTATTTAGTAAATAAACAATGTTCAATTGCATACTTTGGCTGCCACGATTCCGTGCGCAGTGGCAAAAAACACTTTATTTTTACAAGATAAGAATATCTTAGCTACCTACTTTCTGTTATCACGAAATTAATTAAAATTTTGATTTAGGAATCTGAAGTCGTTAAAGATTGTTTATGAATTTCGCCCTTGTTTTTGGTTTCCATTAAAAAGCGAGAATATCACTTAATATTAAAAATTAAAATATAACAAAGTATTAGAAATTAAATTAGGCGGATGTTTCTCCAGTTGAGCACGATGAATCTCAACCTGCAGCATAACATCATGATTAATTATAACTATCCGATGTCACAGTGGTTATTTTTTCTAGATACTATGCTAACGCAACTAAAGAAGAAACCAAAAAGAAGATAAACTCGATCAGGGATATTTTCAAAGCTCTTAAATTAATTTGGAAAGTGGTTGTACTAAATAGCACACTGTTGCTATTTCCGGCTAACGCCATTACTAACCTCGTTGTTTCTGAGGAATACGACAGCGAAACTGTATGGAGCAGTAAGTGACAAGTTACTTCTTCAGATTTATTTTAAAATATGCCGCACTAATATATATTTTTTTTTATATCAAATAATTAATTTAAACCTAAGAATGAGAAATTTTGAACTATCTAGTGAACATTTCGAATTTTTCGGAATAGTGCAAATGCATATCAGTAGAACAAATATTGTAGCAAATATATCAACAAATTTTTTAAAAATCACATGACGGAGAATGTTTTGATGCAAAAACTTTGTTTTCAGAAATGTTTCGCTTATTTACTCGGGTCTTGTTTTTTCAGAAACCTACTTTGTAACTGTTGCCACGTATCTAATACCAGCAGTATGTGATATAGCAGGCAGAGCCCTGTCAAACAAATTTGATAAGGTAAGCTTCCCTCATTTATCCAATATTATTTCTTAGAATTAAACACCGATTTCGTAAAACAGTCTAAACCCAGATCTTCAAGAAAACAAAATTATAAAATGGGCAGGATAGGAAGAATAATAAAATTCGACTCTTATTCAAATATTTTCAAATCAAAGTGTAACTCCAATAACAAAAGCCTGAAAAGTTCCGCATAAGCTTGTGAATGTCTATTATTTAAGTCATTGTATCTAAAGAACAACTCAGACTTGTTTCAAAAACTTGTAGCTCCCTTTTTCAATAAATTGGGGCGTGTCAGGAGAAGGCCGTTCAGGTGCGAACATTTTTGGTTTTACCCTGCAGTCACCACAAGGCTCAATATTTGCTAATAGGTCCTGGTATACTATATTCGCGTTCCAAAAGTGCCACTTTCTAGTATTCCGAGTTTCTTGGCTACCTCAAAAAGGTTTACATTTGGGTAAATTTCCCAAACGTATAAAACGTATAATAATTGTGAGTTGTGAAAAGTTTCATTTTACCTAAACCCCAACTAATCATATTTGATATACCATTTATATTACAATTTTGGACAGCATAAATAAGATGGAAAGTATTTTATAATTGAATGCATGCGTACACACATTAAATACATAACTTAAACACTTTTTAAGTATTCGAAGAATTATAACTAAATACATTTAGACAAAATTTCAATAATTAAACCCTATTGAAAGATACAGTAATTTGGACAGTATAATCCAAAAGTCCCATAAAATAAAGGGGGTTTAAGAAATTCAAAATACTGTTTAAAAATATGCACTGTGATACTTTTAACACTTTTGGGACGACCTATGCAGTACGAAAAGTATTTATAAATAGTAACCATAATATCTCAAAAGTGAAACTTTTTGAAAATCTGGAATAAATTAGATATATTAATAATAAGTTTGTTAAGGTATTTAATGTCTTATCAAAGACCGGCATACTCGAAAATGTCATAACAAAATTTGAATTTAAGGGTATTTTAGAAAATGTTTTGAAGTTCCAGTTGAACAAATGGTTTTCTTACATACATTTCAGGACTTTTCTTGGTCGTTTCTGTTTATTGCTGTAACAGTTAGGACTTCGATTATCATTCCGACCATATTCTTTTCCAATGCACGTCCAAGAAACCACACAGATGTCATATTCAACCATGACTGGGAATATATATTGATAATGGCATTTCATCAGTGCAGTTTAGGCTTCTTTATGAACGCAATTACGCTGAAAAACATTAGGTAGGTACTTGCTCCCTGCTTTGTAAATCTGAAAAAATACCTGAAAAGGTTTTTTGAAAATAGCGGGAACTTAAAAAATTCACAAACAGTACGCATTCATGTGAATAGACTAAACTTCCTTCTGTTTCAGACTTGTCCCAAAAGATAAACTGGATCTATCCTTTTCTGTAAGCATGTTATTTTTGGGAGGAATGGCGGCAATTACCTCGCCTCTTGGAATCATTTTGGTCAGTCTTTTGTAAACATAATTAGGATCAAGCGATAAGAATTCAGGCTGTGTAAAATTAATTTTAAAAATAATTTAAATTAATTGATAAATATTTCAATATTCTCTACTTTTTACGGTAATGAAAGATTCCTATGAGAAATTTGGAATTCCAGGAAAATGGCACAAATCCAGCCAAATATCTAACAGATAAGTTTGTAAGCGTTCCCATCTTCAAATCAATATAATATTATTTATTTAGTTTGTGAGCACTGTACATTTGGAAAATTTTATTTACCGAGCAACAGAAAAATCGTCAAAACTAATATTCAAATTTTCTCAAAGATCTGAAGGGTTTGTTGATGGGTATATATTTTGTTAACTTGATTGCAGGTTATTATTTTTAGCAAAACGCATGTGAATCTAATTTTTCATCCCCGAAATGCGATTTTTTTTAAATAATTGATAATGGCCTACGTTGTTGTTGTTAATTTCATAAAAGAAAAAAAAATGCAAATTAGATTTGGTGGCTTTTTACATTATTTTCTACTTTTGAATTTTGTTATGCCGATGTACGTCGGTTATGTTATTGAAGAAGATGGCTTAATTCCACAAAAAAAATGTGGATTCGAATTGTCGTTGTGTCTGTTTGCGCTGAACGAACCAGTGAAACTTTACTTCCTGTAATGAATCCTATAAAATGACCTGATCGTAAAAGCTTTTCGAGTTAATTTGTAGGGTCAGTTTCAGGGTTATTTTCTTTTTTTATTGCACCAACGTAAGTAGTATTGCGATTTTCCGTAACTTAACGAGCATTAAAGGCAAAAGTTGGAAAAAATATCATACCAAAACACCGGGAAAGAGAGAGCGTAAAAGTAAATAATGTTTGACATAGTTGTATAGGGTGTTTCTAAAAAATGTCAACAAAATTAGCAAATTAACTTAGTTTGAAATTGGCGACAATTACATTTAAATACAATTTTGAATTTTCTACTTCACAAAGACTACCAAGTTTTTTTTATGCAAAATGACTATAATTTTTTTATTCAGGAACTGATTTCCTGGACATTTTTAAGCGTTAAAATTCGATAAAGTAACGTAATGGGAATATTCAAATTATTTTGAATAACAAATTTGGGTGTTATTTTTGAGAATAAACCTTTTAGAAAAAAATTATGACTATTTCAAATCAGAATTGCAGTGTGAGGCGGGTACCAAATTTTAAGGTAATACATTACAAAATATTCATAAAATTTTAAAGAATCGATATCTGTTTTTTAATTTCATCACCCTGTATCTTACATACCCCTTTAAGACACATTCTATAGAAAAAGACAAAGTGACTAATAAATTGTAAAAGGAAGTAGATCCTTACTTTCAAAAAATGAATTGTAAATTCACCATTGGAATGGCACACTCAATAATTGCCACCACTTTGGAATGTTAATTGTTGTATTGTTCCTATGTTATCAATGGCCAAATTGGTCATGGGTGGTATGCTGCATTTTCTTCGAAATAAATAATAATAAGAATAAAATTTTTTTTCTAATTGCTTTTTTCTACTCCCGTCTGTAAAATGCTCAACTACACACCGATCTAGAGTGCGGGAATTATCACTTTACCACGTCAGTTTCGTTTCCCACGCATCCGAGCCACTTCGCACGTTTCCGGGGTATTATCGTACGGGTTTTCGGTGTTATTTCCCACGTCTTGAATGTATTCGTGTTGTTTTACGAAAATGCACCCAAAAACTAACGGTCGTAGTATAGTATGCAACACGTTCGGTAAACTTTTTAAGTCATTCGTTTATTAAACACTCGCTGCGCTCGTGTTAAATAAACTGGTGAGTCAAACACCGTGTATAGCACTTATTGTGACTAAGCAAAAACAAAATTACAAATTGCATAAAGTAGCATCGCCCGTTACTTAAAACATATCGCTCACATTTAATGCAAAGTTTTGTATAACTTGTCCAGTTTTTGGTGGATAACTGGAAGATTCCAATGTCAAGTTTGTCAAAAACTTTTCCGTATACTAGCCGTTTTAAATATTTGACAGCCTGCTCTCATTGTAGCAAACGTTCATTGGATGCGAAGCTGTCGCACCAATGTGAAGAGAAATGTAGGAAATAAGAAGCCAGAACCAAAATGCAAACGAACTAGTTCCCGATTTACGTCATATGACAATTCTTTCAGAATATCTGAAAACTAATTCATGTGACTGTGTGCTATTGGACCTAAGCTAATTAGCCTTCGGAGTTTGGAGAGTGGTACACCAGTCTATCAAAAAATTTGTAGTTTAAATGGAAATGACGCCAGAGTCAGATGAAACTTTTTACTTTTTCTGTTTACTTTTGGGACTGATTCAGTTCCCTTTCGGGACAGTTTTGGTTGCCATGGCAATGAAATAAATATTTGTTGACGGTGCAACACTGGCCTATTGGCCACATCCCAATTGGCCTATTCGACCAGTGAAGTGGCATATTCGGGACAGACATAAATCAAACCAAAATTTTTCGTGGTTTCATTTGACTGAAATAATACAGCATATTAATTTATTAGGCCTATCAAGGGTACGAAAATGTATTTCGACCAAACGCTCGATTTTTAACTTCATATATGCCGGCAAGTCTACATTAAACGGCAAATAGTCCTTGATTGATTACATTATCAGGACTGCTACTGTGCCATTGTTTATTGTCAAACACAAAAGGTAATATTTGACGCCGGCATAACATACGTGTTCTAAACTGACGCTTCCATATAAATTATTATGCCATTGTAACTCATCACCTGGGATTTTCATTGTTATTCGCATTTATACCAATTTATATATCGCTAAAGCGCTGATTACATCTAATGGCGTTTCGGAATTGAATACAGTAATACGTTTGCCAAATTAAAATCCTGTAAATTAGCAGCTTTGTCACGAATACATTCGTGTAACGACTATCCGATCATTTGGACGTCCAGTTTGTCGATGCTGCCTGAGCAGATATTAGGAAGTTTGCTGGATGACTGAAAATAATTAATTTATGGTGTTCGACTGTTTCTGTTGCAAATCCCTTTGTGAAAAGGCGCACATTAATTTTAATATTTTCAATTTTTATACAGGGCGCTTCAAATTTAATCCTCACCAATGGGTCTTAGGAACCGTAAGATATAGAGTACAGCAAACTACTGCAAATTATTTAACAACTTATTTCAACAAAATGAACCACAAATAATCCAATAATTTAAACAGCTACAAACAAAGTAAACACTTTGTAAGTAATAACTTTGGGAAACTGGAGAGGAAAATAAAAATGAATGAATTGTAAATAAATAAATAAATGTATATACATATTATTCCTACAGAACTATCGATATGTCGACAACATCATAACTGCACTTATAAAAAGAAAAACAGATTTATCACTGAACTCCTTCAACACATTCCACAAAAAAATACAATTCTTAACGGGAAGACAGCTAGAAAGATTATTATCCACAACTTCCTGGGTCCTATTATTTCAAAATCATCTAATTAGGAATTATCAAAACCAATATAGCAATTAAAATCTTGTGATTCAAAAAACCAAATGCTTTTGTCAAATCTAATAATACCAAAGCAGTAATTTTATTATAATCTCGTGCGCCGAAAATGCCATCCGTCAAATCTGTCATTGCAGTTGTACAGTTATAGCTATTTCAAAAACTGGATTACCTTTCGGCAATAATTTTTTTTTAATTAATATGCCCACGAATTTGGGTATTCAGGATTCTTTCTCTAGGATTACTAATTTTAGCAATGTGTGTAATAATGGTCTGCTTCCAGCATGTGGGAAAATAGTGACTTTTAAAACCCTCATTTATTACATGAGTAATGAAGTTACAAATGTAAGGAAAACAAAGTTCCATTAGTGTTATATGTATACTGCCTCAACTAAACGTCTGTATTATCAACATTGAAGCAGTGCCTCACAATTTTTCACTAAAGTAAATAATAGCAAAGATATGACTTTCCTGTTATTTGAATAGCAATGTAAAAGTTCTGCATCCAAAGGAAGGTTTGACTTAGTCTAGTTTACGAAAAAGTCATATCTGGAATATTGTAGGTGGAATTAATTTTCCTTATACTACGTTTCATTCTAAAGAAGGACTTTGTTAAATTTCGTAGCTATTTATAATATTCTCTCTGTCATATTTTAACTTTTTGGATCCTTTTGCTATATTCCTTCATTCATGATTGCAATGGCTTTTCATAAGTATTACCTTTTTAACGGAATGTTATCGAGTTTGTCACTAAGCCCCAATTTTACCGTTATCGGTATTCGTTAAAGATATTGTTAACGTAAAGTATGTTATTTGTGTAATGATATAGATTGAGCATATATACAAATATTTCAAGTTTTAATATTTCAATTTTGTCCAAAACCTCCGGCAATTATAAGCTGCCGGTTTCCGCGTTATTCGCATGTAATTTCCATACGCAAAACACAGCCTATTAAATTCTGCAATTACCTGTACGTCTACACAACATGGTAACTGATAGGATGGCTCCTGGTGTCGACATAATCCTGATGCCTTTCTGGCAATAAACAGCTGTATCACACTACTTCCACTATAACTCATTTCCGGTCGGTTATTACGACGACAACATCCGAGAAATGACCTCTGCTCTAATGGTCATCATAAACTACCTGTTTAAATTTATGCTGAAAACTAATATCGCTTTTCAATCATTTTGGCATCAACCTAATAATCCACTGATTACACGGTTTAATTTAATCAATTTCTTGCTTGCAGTAGAATTGAGAAGGTACCATTAGCTTTAAAAATATGTTCTTTCCAGCATTGTTAATTTGTAGTGATGTAGTAAATACCATAAAAGTATAAGGGTTTGAAATTTGCAGAGCGTTTCGGACTGCTATTTAAATTTTATCCCAATGCAGGAATTAATGAAAAATTCTGTAAATATTTCTCTGACAGCTCTGGCCCCGAAGATTTGTTGTTTGATTAACTTTCTGGCGTCGATCTGTAACCCGAAGCAAAAAGGGCGGAGGAATTTGAATTTTTCGGCCGGGAACAGTAAGGTAAATATTACATTTTTTAACTGATTTTGTAAAAAACTCGAAAAATAATTGTAATATGCTACACACACTCTTTCAATCCGCTTTCGATTTTTTGCATCTTCCAGATTAATTCTCTAGCGTTTTGTTCTGGGTAACGTTTATTAAAACTTTTAATTAAAATTAGCATTGTATCACATTCGAGCTTATATTACCCGAACGGGCAACCTCTAACAGAAGATTTCGCGTGCAAAAACGAACAAAAGTTCGGTGAAATTAAAGCAGAGGTATTAATATGAATCCAGGGAGTTAAAGTAGATTTGTGAACCGCGTAATAAGGGACTCGGCCTTTGCTTTTATCCCCCGTTGAAATCGAGTAGAAAACTTTTGTTCCACCCGACTGGCTCGTCCGATTTGGCTTGTGACACAACGCCACGAATTTCCTTTCAGATGGTCGCAAAGGGCTATAATATAACCTTTTCACAATGTTTGGCTTATCCGATAGTGAAGCTTTTAACATATCTCTTAAGAAAATGAGCAATAAAACCTCTGGGGTAAGTAACTCTTTTTAAATGATCCTTTTCGAGAGAGTGATTTCGAGGACTAATGATGGTGATTGTCGTCTCCTATATCAAAGCTAGAGCAGTAGTAGCAAATTTTAGAGCTTCAAAGTTTAAAGAATATATTTTTATATAGCCCAGATCGTTTTATTGATGGTACAGGATTACATATTATGACCGATTGAAATATGGAGTGCATTAGATATACAAAAAGTTGCGATGGCAAAGTGGTATGTTTTGATTATGCGGCTGAAGTTAAACTTTGGTGTTTATAGTAAAAAAAAATAAATATTAGTAAACCATTTTTAATCAACTTTTACTCGCCATAGGTCAGAATGAATAAAAAGTTTCTTCTTAAAGAAAACAGGTGATCATCGTTTTGATTTCGTCACAGACGTTTGGCTACTAGCAAATCAAAAATACGTTACAATATACCAATAGCTATGTTTTTTTTGCTCCACACAAAGCGATTGCTAATGCGTTGTTAGCATTATACTTTTCGGCCAACCCAATTGATACTTGCACTAAACTACTAAAAACCGATATCAGCAGGAATTAGTAACTACCGATTCATTATTAGGTAAACTCTGCAACGTATGAAGAGAATACTGCATACTGAACTAGGACAAATGTATTAGCATTGACAACTTCATCCAAATACTATAGGTATTTTGTAAACACGCCAAGAACAGAGATGCATATCAGTATTTTTCTTGTAGTTTTGTGTTTTGGAGACAAAATTTTTGTAGCTGTATGCAAAACATTCTATTTTATAAGGCAAATAAATACTGTCAGCACTTGCCTATGTCTGTATTTTAACATAACATAGAATGATAGGACATTTAGCAATGTTACTCAAGT